TTTTAGTTTCCATTTATTTTTTTTTTTTTTTTTTTTTTTTCTCCCCTTGTTCAGATCTTAGTTTAATTTGTCCTATAGGTTGTCATCATTTTCTAATAAAAGTCTTTCATTCTCTTTTTTCTTAGCTAGTTACAATTTATTATTCTTCTCTTCATCTACAGACAAATTGAATCCCTTGTTACTGTTGTCACTGATGTCAAAACATTGTCCTAAATTGAGCATATTGAAATCTACTTTGTTTTCAGATGTCTGGCTTATCAGATACTTGTTTTTGCTTTAATTTCTAAATTAAATATTACAGACGGTGAGAACTGAAAAGTGTTTAAAACACAGGTTGGTAATTGAATTGGGGGTTGTGTTAAAATGCAGAAACATTTCATTGAATGCTCATTAAATAATTTAAACTTAATTCTATTCTGAAGCCTGACTGGATAAACAAAAATATGGCTTAAAATATAAATGCCAATTAAGTGGTCGCAGTGCTGTTCTAATAGGACTGATGTGTACAAATCGAAATGTAGCAGATATTCATGTACTCATGTCATCAACTGTAACCCCGCCTGTGGGCAGGTCTCAGTGGAGGCTGGTGTATAAAGAGATAATGAATGCCAGTATATTTATAATACAGTTAAGACTGTGTCTTTATAGGAGAAGTTATAATTTCTGAGAAAGTTGGATTCCTTATCGTAATCCTGGTTCTTTGATAACGGTGAGGTGTTTCACTGTGTACATTAATAAACAAATGTCCTTATTAACTGGTTTAAAGCTTTATTGTTTAAAAATGCTAAATATTGGGATTTGAGCCAGCTCTAATCACAGACCTGTTAACTAAAACAGTCTGACACACTTTGCGTGCACACAGTGCTCCCATCTAACATGATTATTAGATTATCTTAGTGTATGTTCATTAACTATGATTCACAGCCACTGCACACTCGCACAGATGTCAATGAACTGGCTAATTAGAGCTGTGATCAGTCTGAAGGTGAGGGAAACATGCTGCGAGTCGTGATCCTGTGGAAGCATCAGGAAAGCGAGGGACAGCGTCTCATTAGCCAATAAGTGAGCCAAGAATACCGTTTTGTCTATTGTGTTGAAATGAACAAGGAAGCTTCTCGACGTGTTTGTATTATCTGCAGTGTTTTCACTGACTTAGCTGATGCACAGTCAAACCAGTCTCCGAGGTGATATATTTTGAGCTACACATTTAGGTTTGTCATCAGCATGTAATGTATCTTGGCAGGTGTTTGCAGAACCAATGAGCTGGTCATCAGATGGCGTGTGTGTGTTGTACTTGCTGCAGAGTGGGGGTAATTTTTTAACTACAGAGTGAGGACATTTTGGCTGGTCCTCACTTGTACAGTATTTGGGGTTCAGGTTAGGTTTTAGGGTAAGGTGTTATGGTTACAGTAAGTGGCTAGGGAATGCACAATGTTACTGTGTGTCACACAAAGAGAAGTACAAGTATGTGTGTGTCTCAAAGCTGTGCACAACTACACAGGTGTTTTAAAACAGGATGGCTGAACTTCTAGTCAAGTGGAAATTCGATGGACCTCTAAGCTTGGTCACTGTACTTGTCACATTTTGGTTTATTTCAGTTTCTTAGGTTTGTCTTACTAAAATTACACATAACCCACAGTGCATAATATATTTAGTAGGAATAATTCCACAAGTTCTTTTGGGCTGTTGCAGAATTAACTTGATTAAAATGCCGATAGTCGTTTAATTACAGGACAATTAATATTATTGTTTGTGTATAACGTTTAAGTTGTCTGTTCAGGGTTAGGCCTCTGCTGTTATTGTACAGGGGACTGTTGTGAGAGTAACGTGACAACAGCAGCAATAGATTGGAAACCTGAGAAATCAGAGGGGAACTGTGTGTATACTGTCTCCACATGTTGATGCTAATTATTTGCTTAAAAAGAATCTAGTCACTAGAAAACACTAACCAGTAGACAATGCCGGGTTATGTTGCATGCTGGAATAGCACTCTCATGCTAGACAAATGTCTTGTCATGCCACTAGAAAAAATAAAGCAAGGCAACTTTATATCATTATTTCATACACAGAGGCAAAGGGAAAACAGTAACAGCATTACAAACAATGAGCATTAAGACAAAGAGAAGATAAAACATTGATAAAATGAGGTAATATACATAAAATGAAATTAAGGACAAAATGAAAAAAAAAAAAAAAAGGTCTGAGACAGAAATCTAGTGGTTAGTGTGCAGAAAGTGGAACAGAGAAACCAAACAGAAGCACAGGAAAACAGCTGTTTTCAGTTGACACTTCAAAGTGGCTAAAGTTGGGGAAATATTGAAGCAGGTTCCATGTGTGCGCAGCATAGTGGCTAAAAACAGCTTCACCCTGTTTGGTTCTGACCCGAGGTTCTACCAGCTGCCTCTCAGAGCCCTTCTGGGGTTGTAGTCTTCAAGGAGATCAGAAATGTATTTTGGCCCCATTCAAAGAGGTTTTGATAAAACTAATGATGACCTCATGCATACTTCAAACCACGAGTTTTCTTCTTACTCTCCTGTCTTTGGCCTGTTTATCTATTCTTTTACAGCCCTTATGGGATTAACAGGTACTTGATTAGTTGTCCAAATCTGCTTCATGCCCCCTCTGTCTGGTTTGTTTTGTCAACCTGGGATGTCTGAAAGAATCCACACACAGTCTCAGCTTATTGCAGTTTAGTGGCTATAGCCAAGATCCGATCTTTAAAAACATGTTAGTTGTAACACAGTACTTGCTGGACATGTGGTCTTAAACACATAAAAGAAATGCGCTTGAGCTGTGTGCTGTGTCAAAGCTTTTATTACTCCACTTAAAAATGTCGAATCGGTGTGTGATTGTTCTGTGGCTATGTAGACACCTGTGAGCCTTTTCCTCATACGCTGCCTGGCTATTGGGTATTTTCCTGCTCTGATGGTTTGAACAAGGTGGATGCGGTGTCAGTGGTGGAAAAACATCACAGTGATGGAAAGCATGTGGTGCAGTCAGGGTGTGTGTTGAGGAAAGAAACATAATAGTCTATTGAAACCAGACCAGAGCCCCTTCCTCCTCTCACCTCTGTGCACTGAAATGTGTTCAGCAGAATCTATTCCAGATGACTTCTTTTCCACTGTTGTGACTTGCTTGACATGAAAAAGAGAAGCTAAATATTAGTTTCAGACTGATTTGTGGTTTCATCTGTGTCAGGCGCTTGCAGTTGTTATGGCAAGAACAATTCGGAGCCTTTCAAGAAGATTTTCTTTAATCCAATTTCCCTCGGCCTTAACCAGGACCATGTGTGTTTTTACTGGCGTGGGCTCTCAGATCACAGCTCCCTCATGGGTTTTAATAGCCCATCAGAAAGACTGACACGCACACTAGATCCATTCAAGGAGACACCTTGGTGCCTGCTCCTTTCTTGGCTCCATTTACTGCTGTGATGCACACTGCACCCTGAGGCCTTCATCCGGTGCGAGGGCTTTCATATGACCCTGATGACACGGAGCCGCAGAGAAGCAGACCCAAAAAACTAGTGGTGACAAAGACCGACTGTTGTGCATGGACAGTGACTATAAATATGGACATGGCCTCACCACGTCCCTCCACTATGGGAAAGTAAGTCACAATATCACCAACACGGTGGTCGCCACCTCAGCGTTTTGCATCCAGATTCTGCGCAGTAGCCATCAAGTAGTTGAGTGACATATCAGAGCTGTCAAATCATTCTCCATACACCCCTTTTTATATAATCTAATAACTTATTAAAAACAATCTTACTAGAAAAATAACCACTTGTATAAACTTCAGCGTGATAATGTTTACCACAAACAACAGAAATCACCTCTGGGAAAACAATTGCAGTACTTCTTCCACTACTGTCAAGACGTATTATTTGGTGTAATGTTGCAGGAGAGCCACAAGATGGCAGGATGGTGCAGAACATAAAGCCACGAGTCTCGCATCCAGATCTGCATACGGTGTTAAGTTCTATTTCTGTAAGCTGCTGGCAAGTTTTCAGTGTTGTGACTGACAACGTTGGTTCCTTTTGATTTTCTCCAGAGTCATTTTTCTTCTAACAGGCAGCACATGAGAGACAGTCGCTCCAGGGAAAGATTAAGTTAGTGTGGAGATACAGTACAATGCCAATAAAGAGGTTGTCTTCCAATCCTATTGTGTCTTCCAGCTCCTTCCAGACCTTAACTCGAGACAAACTCCTGCAGGGACTACCGAGAACCTCCCTCCTGTTCGACAGCAAATGTTATCATTTTAACTGACTGATGAAAGCCATTTGTGTGACATGTGATTCCTCCAGAGCATATCCATCTGCTTTGGACTCTGTGAGGTGAAAAACCGTTCGTGTTTAATGTGGTCATGAATGTTTCCCCAGACTAGGAGTTAGTGGTAGACTAATTACATAGTGGGCACATAGCCTCAATAGCACACTGCTGCCAGAGCCTTGTGTGACTGTATGTCATTAGTATTGGAAAAGCACATTTGCCACAAAGGGCTGCGGTCACTCGTAGCCATTAAAACATGAAAGAACATAGCCCACTCTTCTGGAGAAGGAATTTGCAAGACATAAACAGCCTGTAAAATGGAAAACTACATCTGTGTCTATTTGTTTTCCTGAAAGGCAGCCAGATATGGTAATTCTTACTGAAATTCTTTCCAATAACAGAGAGTGGTCCAAGAAAAGGGGGAAGGACTGTTTCACCCATCTGTTTTCAATGTGGTGTGGTGGTGGGTTTGTGAACAGGATCTCAGCTCAGTGGGAGACTAAGAAATTGTGCAGGCTTCAGAGCTTGTTGGGCCCTTTGCTTAATTTACACTCTGGGTTTATCATGAGTGTGATTGGCTCTTCTCTCAGCTGGAACATGACCTACCACAGAGAAGCAGTGGAAAGTAACTAAGTGCATTTACTCAAGTACTACACTTAATTGTATTTTTATGCATGTGCACATTGAGTATTTACATTG